TTGGGCGTACAATCCTGCTGTGTCAGCCTCTCCTCACCTGAAATTGCAGGTCTCCATCACCAGCACTGTCTGTGTCTTTTCATTCATTCATCTGTTGAGAGGGTCTCACAAAGCCCAGGTTGGTCTCAGTTTTGAGCTTGATACATAGCCAAGGATGGCCTTGAACTCCTGGTCTTTCTGCTTCCACCTCCTAAGTGATGAGATGCAACCATGCCTGGCTATAAATTTGAGGTTCAATATGACATTTTAATGTAATTTTAAAATAATTTTCATCTTGTGTGTATGGGTGTTTTGCCTGCATGTATGTGTATGTACATGTATCACACATATACAGTGGCCATGGTGTTCAGAAGAGAATGTTGACTCCCAGGAGCTGGAGTTACAGCGTGGGTGCTGGGAACCAAACTTGGATCCTCAGAGAGTAGTGCACTGCTCTTACCACCTGAGTTGTCTCTCCAGCCTCTCAATATAACATTTTTACATGATAACTTAGGTTTATTCTGTGAGTACTTATGGGTACAATCGTAGTGGCATGGATGCTATGGGAGTAACTAATGGCTTTATGATTGAACTTAAGACCTTCTCCAGGAGGAAGTATGCACCTAGAACTGTAAGTCTTGCCAAGAACTCAGGAATTCAAAATAAATAATATTCAGAATTTAAAAACATTTATTTTATTTTTATTTATGCACATGTCTCTATATGTATATGTAATACATGTATACAGCTGTCTGAGGAGGCTAGAAGAGGAGATTCCCTGAAGTTTAAGTTACTCTTTCTCTTTATGTCTCTGAGTGCTTACACACACACACACACACACACACACACACGTGTATATATATATGCATGTCTGATGCCTAAGGATGCCTAAAGGTGGCATCATATCCTCTGGAACTGGAGTTAAAGATGGTTCTAGTGAAGCTGCCATGGAGGTGAGGGGAGTTGAACTCAGGTCCTCTTGAAATAAAAGAAAAACTGTTGGTCCTTTTCGTCTTTTCTCCTTCAGCCACATCATAGATTACTGAATGGCTAATCATTTCACTGTTCAAAAGACAAATCCTAGTCAGCCAGTGGCTATTCGGTGTCATGTGGTGTGAGGACCATTCTCCTACACAGGGTGTGTGGCTGTGTCGAGAGCCTTGCACAATTAGATTCCAACTCTGGTCCAGCTTGAAGGAGACCCCTGGCCCAGGATCCATCACTACTGTTGGCTTGGCTTGAGTCCTTATCCATCCCAGGATGAGGGTGGGATTGGAGGACTCCGATGATTGTTTTCACCACGTATAGGAGAGGAAGGAGCATCGCCCTCAAAGGAGTGGATGTTGTTCTAAAGTGAAGGAAAGGAAACAGGAATCGGGAGGTCAGGAGCAATGAGCCATGTCAGAACCCACGGGTTGAGTCGGGTGGCGCTGGAGTCGATGTGTGCAGGGTATGTTTAGGTGGTCCATGGGTGGAAGGGTGGCCGCCTCTCAATTCTCAAATGTGATTGTGAGCTGTCAGAGGAGTCACCAACAAAGGTCCAGGGCATAGATCTGAGAACAAGGAAAGACACTAGGTGGGACTTACTGTCAAGTAACTCCAAACAACTCAGGATGCATGTCTTTTTGTTTTGCTTTGTTTTTCCAGACAGGGTTTCTCTGTGTAGCCCAGGCTGTCCTGGAACTCTCTATGTAGACCAGGCTCATACTGCCTCTGCCTCCCAAGTACTGGGATCAAAGGTATGTGTGATAATGCATATCTTATTAGGGCCAACAGTCTCCTCTCTCTCTCTCTCTCTCTCTCTCTCTCTCTCTCTCTCTCTCTCTCTGTGGGGGGCTGTCTCTGTGAGGGGGTGTCAGAGGTCAACATCAGCTATCCTTCTGCAGGCACAGCCCAACTTCAGGATACTGACCTGGGCCTTGCTAAGTAGGCTAGGCTGGCCAACAAGCAAACCCCAGGGATCCATCTGTCTCTACAGCCTGGTTCTGGTGTTCATGCTCCCAACTGAACTATCTTCCCAGCTCCCAGACTCTGACATTTGTTTGTAGCTGTTTATTTTCTTATCTGTGAAATAAGGGTGACAATCCTCTATCCACTCCTTGTGATAATAAACAAGTGGGCTGGAGATACAACTCAGTGGTTAAGAGCAATTGCTACTCTTCTGGGGGACCAGGGTTCAGTATCCAGCAACCAGGTCAGGTGTCTCACAACTACCTGTTGTGGTGATATCTTGCTTGTACAAATAAAGCCTGTCTGAAGGTCAGAGAATGGAGCTTGCCACTAGCTAACCATAGAGGTGCACCTACCCACGCACAGAGATATACACTACACATAAATAAAGTCTTTTTAAAAAATCAGCTACAAGGTCTAAGGTGCATCTGACACATATTCTGTAGGTCGCCAAGAAATGGAACCCCCTTCCTTCACTGCACGCTGGGCTCAGCATCCTCTCCGTGCCCATGTTTCTCATGCATACCTTTAGGTAGTCCTTCCAGAATGCTTCGTTCTCTCCCACTTTAGAAAGGGTGCTGTGAGACTCGGCAGAGGGAAGTCCCTCACCTGAAGTCACAGGGTGAACAACTCTGCGTTTGATTGACCTGTGAGGCCGCGTTCTTTTCTGTCACACCCTGAGGCAGAATGGCTCAGCAGGACTGGGTGTGAAGAAGGTGGCTCTGTGGGTGCCAGATGTTTTGCAAAATATTATTTATTTAAGTACCTCCAGCTGATGTGGGCTGGTAGTTAAAGAAAACAGTGAACACCACACACACACACACACACACACACACACATTTCACCTGCTCCTGGGGACCAGTGTCTATTCATAAAACAAGCTTTACGAATGAAGACTGTAACAGAGTGACAGACATGCACAGTAACATGTAGGGGTTTCAAAACAACAAGTCTTTCAAAAGCCAGAGCTCTTCCCTCACTCTCATGTAGCCCAGCTAGACTCAGATTTACCCACGTAGCCACGATCCTCCAACTTCCAACCTCCCGAGGTGCTGGGATTACAGTCATGAGCCACCACTCAGGTTTATGCAGTGTTTCCAGGGCTCCCCTGATGCTTGAGTTGGGAGTCCAAGTTGGGAAGGCTGACACGCTCCCAGGCACATGTTGAGGAGCCTAGAGCAGGATGTTAGGTGCCTTCTCCTATCACTTCAGCACCTTGAGACTGGGTCTCTCAATGAACCAGAAGCTAGCCATTCACCTAGGCTGGCTGACCAGCAATCTCTTGTGATCTGTCTGTCTCCACCTACCCCCAACAATGGGGTTGTAGGCATGCACAACGTGTGTGGCTTTTTATGTGGGTGCTGGGGATTTGAACCCAGGTCCTCAAGCTTGCAGAGCAAGTACCCTATCGCACTGAGTCATCTCCCCAGTCTTATCACAGATTATTTGATTATTGTTTTTACACAAGTCAGTCAACACCTTGAAATAAAAGGGACTCTATCCAAGTGTGCGTCTCTGTATCCTTGACATGCTGGTATATGGTTGATGCTCACTCAATACAGATCTTTCAAGTGTTTGAGGGACTGGGTCGGAAACAGGATATGGGACGAGGACTGTGGTGAAAGCAAGGACCAAAAGAGATTTGTTTTTACTGACTCCTGTGGTTTGATGTAGGGCTCCAGAGATGCATGCCAACACAGACCTGACATCTCAGACTTGGAAGACAGACAGGAAGAACACACGTGCAAGGCAAGCTTGGGCTGTAGAGTGACATGTAGAAAGGACTTAAGAGGGAGGGAAGACTCTAGAACTGGATTTGGCTTCATGATGAGGGTCGTATTAGAGTTGGCCTTATAATCAACACCAAGGTATTAGGAAGGATGAATGTGGCTGTCAGGACAGAAGGATGCTTGGAAGAGTCAGGAGAGGAAGACATGGCACTGCTGATGTGTTCACTGACTCAGAAATTATATTGGAAACCCAGAAGATCTACTCAGGTCATCCATAGCATGTTGGTCTGACCTATTGCCACTTCTCTTCATGGTCCTCTTAAGGTCTCTACAGTATCAGAATTGGTACCCAGAAGAGGAACACCACCAGGCAGGATGAAAGCTGAGCTACCCTCTTTATTTTTGTGAGATGGTATCTGGTGTGGTCCTTTGAGCCCACTTGCATAACTAAAGACAACCTTGAACTCCCAATGCTCTTGCTGCCACCTTGTGAGTGCTAAAATGACAGCCAAGCGGACCACATCTGCCTTCCAGTGTCTCTTTTTGAACATAAGAATCCCCCAGTGAGGGGCCGGGGTGTGGTTCAGTGGTAGAGAGCCTACCTATGATGTAGAAGGTTCTGGGTTTAATTCCAAAGGAAGGAAGAGCAGAACCTTATGAAAACAGAATCAAGATAAGGAAAACAGTTGTGGTGGGAGTGGGGGTGAAGGTGGGGTGAAGATTCTATTAGGAAGTGTTTGAAATTTACGTTTTTGTTATAAAAGCATAGTATGTGGAGAGACCTATGTATAATATGATTCAAGATCAATATGACCACTGACAAGACGGCTCAGTGAGTGAAGGTGCTTGCCTCCAGAGCCCACGTGGAAGGAGACAAGTCCCCGAAGTTGTCCTCTGAGCTGCACATGCAAACCATGGAATGCATGCACACAGACAATAAGTAAAGTAATTTACTTTTTTTAAACGAACACGAAGACAGAGACTAGACCGACATTCATAAGATCCCTGTTGGTGTTGGGTGTGGAATCGTCTTTTAAGTTTTATTTCTGTTTGGGCTGGGACTGAGTTCAGCCTCCAAATCAGGACTGGATCCAGCAGGCAGGAGTTCCAACAACCTTGGTTACAATCACGGCGTGAGTGCTGGGCCAGCCTGAGAGAAGGTTAGAGTTAGAAAATGATTTTTGTGAGGCTCCAAACAGAGTGCACCTCTGCTCTCCGCACCTCTGGAATTCCGCTCCAGGGAACGACCCCTAGACATGGATGGTGGAGTCAGAATGTGCGGGGGTGGGTGTACGGGAGCCGCCCTGCCTGCCCGGCTCCAGCACAGAGGGTGGAGGGAGAGATCTGTGGTATCTACTGCTGGGGCTGCCTCAGGGACTTCAGATAACCCTGAACTCAAAGCAGAGGGAAGACACCCAGAGACAGCTCCACCTGTGCCCCAGGGTGCTGGAGGCGGTGCGGGGGCAGGGGTGGAATAAAAGGACCGGCCCTACAGAAGAAGGCTGACGGCGCTGGGCTCCTGACCCAGGACAGAACCTCACCGAGTGAGACTCCCAGGTGAGAGGGACTTTCAGCAGGGGTGTGCACTAACCGCCCCGTAGACTGGGGCTCCAGGGACCTAGACAGGAGGCTCTGCGGGGCAAAGGGCCTGGGGACCCACCCTCGGGATGGCAGGAGAGCAGCTTCCGGTGCTGCTCGGGGAGAGGGGCTGAACAGGAGGGCTTGAGTCTGAATCCTGGGGTCTGAGGGAGAAGGCTACAGTCTGGACTTTGGATCTGGGGGAGAGGAAGACTGGGGTCTGGACCCCTGGATCTAAGAGAGGAGAACTGGAATTGGACTCCAGGGTCTGAAAGAGGAGGTCTTGGGTCTGAACCCCAAGGTCTGAGGGAGGAGGGCTCTGCCTAGATTTCTGAATCCCAGAGAGAGTCGGTCTGGGGGCTGGATTCCTGGCTCCAAGGGAGGAGGGGTAGGGCTGTATCTCAGTGCCTCATCTCTCAACATTTCTAACGCTGGCAGCTTTAGCTTCCTCATCAGGCCATCAGGCCGCCCCTGAGCTACTGACACCATGGTGGGAGTATGGCTCCCTCCCCTGCTAACTGTGTTGCTGTCCTTAGCCCTGGAAACTGCTGGACAAGGAGGTGAGAGCCTGCCCGGTGTTCCAAACTCCCTCACACAGATGGCTCTCCCCACAGGAGGGAGGGCTGACCTGGTGACTGTGACCCTGTTGGTCTTCTCTTCTTGTCTCAACCAGACAGGCTCCATGGGGTCTCTGCAGGCTCCAGCCGTCTGTGGCTGGTCATGGGGGCTCTCTGAGTGGTTCCGAACCTCTCCCTAGTCCATTCTCACCTCCTCTGCACGATCCTCCATCCGCTCCTCTGAGCCTCATGGAATCATCTCTGACTCTGTGAATCCCTGCTGTCTGTCTGTCTGTCGTCTGTCTGTCTCCCCCTGATGCTGGATGCCCATGTGTGTCTGTCTCCCCCAGATCACGGTGGCAGAAGTGGAGACAGAATTATAGATGGTTACCCGTGTGAAAAAGGCTCCCACCCATGGCAGGTGGCCCTGCTCAGAGGCGATCAGCTCCACTGTGGAGGGGTGCTGGTCAGCGAGCGCTGGGTGCTCACAGCAGCCCACTGCAAAATGCGGTAGGTGCTGCAAGGCCCGGCAGGGTGTGTCTGTCCTCTCTGGGTCCCCCCTTCTCCCCCTTCCTCTGCGTCTCCTCCTTCTCCCCCTCTGAGTGTCACCTCTTCTCCCAGTGAGTACACTGTGCATCTGGGCAGTGATAAGATAGGGGATCAGAGTGCCCAGAAGATCAAGGCCACAAAGTCGTTCCGACACCCCGGCTACTCCACAAAGACCCACGTCAATGACATCATGCTTGTGAAGATGGATAAGCCTGCCAAGATGTCTCGCAAAGTTCAGAAAGTCAACTTTTCATCACGCTGTGAACCCCCAGGGACATCCTGCACTGTCTCTGGATGGGGTACCACAACCAGCCCAGATGGTGAGAAAGCAGCCCAGCCTCCTCCCTCAGTCCCAGGAATCCAGACTCCAGCCCTCTTCCCTGGATGCCTGATCCTGGCCCGGCCCCTTTCCTCCCCACCCTACTCAGTCCCTAGCTGATGCCCTCCTCCCCACAGTGACCTTTCCCTCGGACCTTATGTGCTCGGATGTGAAGCTCATCTCCTCCAAGGAGTGCAAGAAGGTGTACAAGGACCTGCTGGGGAAAACCATGCTGTGTGCTGGCATCCCTGACTCTAAGACCAACACCTGCAACGTGAGCCCTTACTGCCCCACCCCCAGCCCCTGTCTGTTCACATCAGGGTAGAGTTCCTTGTCCCAGTCAGACCTGGCCGTGCCCCAGGTCCCACTCCTTCACTCTATGCTGGTCCACAACCACAGTTCATGCATGGAATGCACTAGACACAGGCCAGTAGTGTAGCAGAGCTGAGAAATGCGGAGGTAGAGATGTAGGAATGTGACTGAGCCTCCTCCCAGGCCAAAGCTTGCAGAAGCTTCAAAACTCAGTGCTTCATATTATTTTATTTTTGAGACAAACTTCCTCTGTGGCCCAGGCTAGTCTGGAACTCACCCTGTATCCCAGGTTATCCTGAAATGATGTAACCAAAGCTAATCTAGAACTATATAGCCAAGGCTGATCTCAAACTCAAAGCAGTATGTGTGCCTCAGCCTCCCAAGGGCAGAGTTTACAGGGGTGAACAGTATGCTGGGCTGAACATTCCTTGTTAAATGTCTCCTCTAAGATTTATTTTACATGCTGTATGTGTATGAATGCTTTCTCTGTATGTATGTAAGTATACTGCATGTGTGCCTGGTGACCAAAAAGGCCAGAAGGAGATCTCAGACCCCCTGGACCTGGAGTTACAGAGGGTTGTGAGCTACCGTGTGGGTGCTGGGAACTGAACCTGCTGTCCACTACAAGAGCAGGCAGTGCTCTTAAGCATGGAATCGTCTCTCCAGCCCTGTTTTGTTTTTGAGACAAAGTCTTATGTAGCCCTGTCTGGTCTTGAACTCCCTCTGTAGCTGAGGCAGGATTTGAACTCCTGACCTGAAGTGCTGGTGCCTAGTCTGCACTTGACTTTTAATTCTTGTTTTGTGATGACCACTGATGCCAGCTCCTGATGCCTGACCTGGACTTGGTCCTGGGGCGAGAATGGCGCTTTCCCACTCTCCCTGTCTCTCCTTACACCACCAGCTTGTCTGTGGACACTTCCCCACCTCTTTCTTTTCCTTCTAATTTTACTTCATTCCTTTCTCCTTTTGCTGGCTCCGTCTGGGATGGCGTCTGCCTCTTGTCTCCCTCTTCCCTCTGCTCTCTCCAGTCTCCCCAGTCCTCTCTCCTCCCCCTCCTTCCTCTCTTGTCTCCTCCCTCTTCTTCCTCCCTCCCTCCTCTCCTCCTCCTCTCTCCTCTTCTTTGCCAGCCTCCTCCCTCCCCTCGCTCACAGGACAGATGTTATGTGGTATCCTGAAGCACTCACTGGTGGGAGACACATTCCTGTCCCTGAGAACCAGCCCATCCCCTTTCCCAGGCCAGCCCAAGGGGATTCCTGCCCAACCCCTAGAGATTCTCACCAGCCTTAATAAATAGACTTTATCAGTAAGGAAATGGTGCTTGAATCCCCAGAAGTCCCACTCTTTCCTGCCTAGAGGCTCTAATGGAACCCAGGTCATCACCATGACAGTATGAATTCCCACTCTCTCATTGGTTCCCAAAGGTAATGATTTCCTGCTCGTTAGCTAGGGTGAAGTTGATTCAGTTTATCAAGACGAAGACTGAACTAGAGGGTGTCTGCGGGTGACCTGGAGTCACAGAGCTTTCCTCTAAAGTCAACACTAACCTCACCTGTTCTCCATAGGGTGACTCAGGGGGCCCCCTGGTGTGCAATAACACCCTTCAAGGTCTGGTATCCTGGGGAACCTACCCTTGTGGCCAGCCCAACGACCCAGGAGTCTACACTCAAGTCTGCAAGTACAGCCGGTGGGTGCAAGTGACCATGAAAACCTATCGCTAATGCACCAGGAGTCAAGCTGTGAGCCTCCAAGGACATGCTTATAGAGTAAGGATACCTATGGCAGCTCTGTAAAATCCTGTCTGGCTTTACCTCTCCTCCAAGACACAGCAAAGCCTCAACACAAAAACAAGTTTATAAACCAATCGGAACCCAGAGACCTAAAAGCAAATCAAGTCAAAAGGTTCAGAAACCCCAGGGCTGTGGAAGATGTTGGAAGCCCAATGTTTTCAAATGCAAGATCTGGGAATTCCTACAGTCATTTTTTGGAAAGTGGCTGGTAATTTCGAGACCTTCATCAACTACCTTTGTCTCAGGCCCTCCAATTCTAGAGAGTTCTTAAAACAAAAAAATAGAACCACGTTTGGATTCATCGCATTATTTATTGTGGGGGGGGAATGGAAATTGTTAATGTGTGGCAAAGTTTTGATTATAGATGGTTTCTCTCAGAATGTTATGAACTCATGAAAAACCATGCCTAAGCTATAATGAATGCTCAGCCTTAGGCAAGAGTGACTGCTACTGTATGGTGTTTACTGACATGGGCTGGACATGTCAAATGGGACATACAAAATAAAATCCAAGTGATGTTCACGTGCGTGCTCGTAACCTGGAAAATAATGGTGGGTAAACTGGAAGCATCGACAGTGGAGGGAGGAGATTCGTGAGGAAGAGTTGGCTAAGAAATTGTAGCTGGACCAGCAAGATGGCTCAGAGGGTAAAGACGCTTGCTGCCAAGCCTGACAGGACTGGAGTTCCATCTCCAGAGCCTGCAGCGTGGAAGGAAATAACGGACGCCGCCATGTTGTCCTCTGACCTCCAGATGTGCTGTGGCACTTGTGTACCTGCTCTCCACGTGCACAAAAATAAATAAAATATCTTTAATACTTGTAATTGTTAAGGACATGTATCTTGTCTTCAGCCTGGCCCTGGTGGGTGGGATGCTCTTCTCTGTTTCTTGGGTTTCTGTTTTCCTTACATGCAAAAGGGGATCTAGAGACGGAGGGAAGGAGGTAAGAAAAGATGGAGCATAAGTACATACATCACCAAGGTGACGAGATGGGAAGGGCCTGTATTTCTCTCAGGTGACAGAGAGGGATGGGGGAGCCAGAGGCTGGACACTCAGGTCCTCTGGGGTCATCAAGAGAGAGTACCCTGAAACTGAGGTTGTGAGTAGGCTCCTCCCAAGGGTTAGGGGGCTCTGGAAGGGAGGGGTGCTCTGTGACTCAGAGCAGAGCCACGCCTAGGCAGCCTGCCTTCCTTCTCTGGGCAGTGGCCCCTCAGAATCTGCTGACAAAGGGATGCAGTAGAGCTGAGGAACAGCACCTCCCACCCATCCTTCCTGTTTCTCTCCCAGAATTTCTTCCCCACAAAATCATTTGGATTCTTCCCAGCACTCTTCCTTCATCTCCACTGACAGCCGGAAATGCTGCAGCTCCCACACTCTGCGCAGGACAACACACAGCACAGGCCGCCTCCTCCCTCAGACCCAGAATCCCAGGCTCCAGCCCTCCTCCCTCACACCCAAGAATCCAGGCCAGCCCTCCTTCCTCAGGCTCCAAGTGTCCATACCCCGCCCTTCCTTCCTCAGACCCAGGAGGCCAGGCCCCGGCCTTCCTCCATCAGGCTGAAGTCCAGACCTGTCCTTTCCTAGACCTGCGTCTAGTTTAGGGAATACCAAGGGAGTCTGGTCCTGCATCCCCACGGAGTTTCACCAGCTTTTCCTCTCTTCCAGCTACCCAAATCACCATTCAGTCTTAAATTTTAAAGGGTCTGGCATGGTGGTGCACATCTTTAATCTCAGCACCTGGGACACAGAACGATCTCTGTGAGTGTGAGGTTATCCTGGTCTACACAGCCAGTTCCAGGCTGGTCAAGCCACACAGTGAGACCCTGTCTCACAAAGGTCAAGAGAGGGCTTTGGAGATGGCTCGGTGGGTAAAGCGCTGGTTATGCAAGCACAAAGATTTGAGTTTGGATCCCCAGTGCCAGCATCAAATACAACACACGGCTGTACATGTGTTTGTAATCACACTGCTAAAGAGATTGAGACAAAGCGTCTACGGGGCCTCACTTGCCAGCCAGTCTACTTATCTCCAGTTAGACATTGTCTCAAAAAATAAGGTGGAGACATCCAATGTCAACACACACACACACACACACACACACACACACACCACTCAAAATTAAATAAAACATACCTTAAAAAAAGTAACCCAGAGACAAAATGGTACTGACTCAGCTTGGAACCACTGAGCCTGAGAGACTGCCTGGGTTACAAAGACGTAAGTTCATACTCAGGTTGGATTGTTTGGAACGGGCTTTGTGTTCTTTGAGCAGACAATAGACTTATAGTTAAAACATGTAGCTTCTGGAACTTGGCTTCTTGCATTAAAAACCTGCTGTGGCACAGACCATTCATTCGCTGTATGTGTGTCTAGCTCTCTCCTCTTGCCTCCTGGTCCCTGTTAGGTACATAAACAGGGCTTAACAGCCTTGGAGGCCAACAAGGACGGACCTTTCCCTCATGGTTGGCTTTGGACTCCATCTCTTGTTTAGCTGTTAATATTATAAAGAGAAATACCATCTTTGAATCCACTAAAATGTGGTGTATTAGTGACATGAGATTTTATAGGGGTAATCAACCACTTTTTGATTGGATCTGAGACCTGTCCCACAGGAGGGAATTCATGCCTGCTACAGCAAGCATGGTTAATAGCCCATGGCTTTGGGAGGTCATAGGCCCTGGGGGGGGGGCTATTGTTGTTTAGCTTAAACTGTTATCATAGATTAGTGCTGCTCTCAACCTTGACCAGAACCCTCTTTCTGCAGCCGGCAGAAACTAATGCGGTCAAAGCGATTGAAGTGACTCTTGAGTGTTCAGCCCTAAATGCACCAGCTACACCAATAACCCCAAGGCTCCGAGAACACTGAGGAAGAATGTACAAAAGCATGTGAGAGGGTGGGGTAGAGTGCTGTGCAACGCTGTGTTCTGGACAGGACTGTCTGGTGCTGTTGCACTCAGGAATGTGCAAAAGCATGGTTACCTGCATGGAAGGAGAGGAAAGAGGAGATACAACGGAAAGAGACAGCGCAGTGGCTTATCAAGTTATCAAGACCCACGAACATTTCAACAGGCAGCACCCAGCAACCCACAAAAACGAAAAGAAGCAAAAGGAGAAAAGAGAGGGCGTGAAAGTGGGGAGGAGGTAAAGTGGGGTGTCCAGAGGGACTAGGAGCAGAATAAGATGTGGGTAATCAAGAAACCTTGTATGTATGAAGTTGTCAAAGAATAATGTAAGATGCTCTTAAGAAAGAAACAAGCATGTTCACACTCTGTCATTTGGTAAGGCTAGATAAAGGTTTGTCTATCTTGTTGATTCTGTCAAAGAACCAACTCTTCTTACATTGATTCTTTGTATTGTTTTTCTAGTTTCTACTTTTTTTGATTTCAGCCCTCAATTTGGTTATTTCCTGGCATCTACTCCTCGGGGGTAAGTTTGCTTCTTTGTGTTCTAGAGCTTTCAGTTATGCTGTTAATTCTCTGGTGTGACTATTCTCCAGTTTCTTCATGTGGGCACTTAGTGCTATGAACTTCTCTCGTAGCACTGCTTTCAAAGTGTACCATAAGTTTGGGTATGTTGTGTCTTCCTTCTCATTGAATTCTAGGAAGTCTTTAATTTCTTTTTTATTTCTTCTTTGACTCAGGAATGGTGCAATTGTACATTATTCAATTTCCATGAGTTTATAGAGTTTCTGCAATTTGTGTTGTTGTTGAATTCTAACTTTAACGCATGGTGGTCTAATAAGATACATGGAGTTATTCCAATTTTTTTGTACCTGTTGAGGTTTGATATGTTGCCGAGTATGCAGTCAGTTTTTGAGAATGTTCCATGTGGCGTTGAGAAGGAGGTATATTCTTTCGTGTTTGAATGGAATGTTCTATAGATGTGTGTTAAATCCAATTGGGTCCTAACTTCTATTAGTTCCTTTGCTTCTTTGTTAAGTTTCTGTCTGGTGGTCTTGTCTAGTGGTGAGAGTGGAGTGTTGAAATTTCCCACAATGTCAGGAGGCATCAGCATCCCTGACTTCAAGCTCTATTATAGAGCTATAGTCCTGAAAACAGCTTGGTATTGGCACAATAGTAGGCAGGTAGACCAATGGAATAGAATTGAACACCCCGATATTAACCCATACACATATGAACACCTGATCTTTGACAAAGAAGCTAAAATTATACAATGGAAAAAAGAAAGCATCTTCAATAAATGGTGCTGGCATAACTGGATGCTGGCGTGTAGAAGAATGCAGATCGATCCATGTTTATCGCCATGCACAAAACTTAAGTCCAAATGGATCAAAGACCTCAACATAAATCCAGCCACACTGAATCTGTTAGAAGAGAAAGTGGGAGGTACCCTTGAACGAATTGGTACTGGAGACCGCTTCCTGAACATAACTCCAGTAGCACAGACACCGAGATCGACAATTAATAAATGGGACCTCTTGAAACTGAGAAGCTTCTGTAAGGCAAAGGACACAGTCAACAAGACAAAAAGGCAGCCCCCAGAATGGGAAAAGATATTCACTAGCCCCACATCTGACAGAGGGCTAATCTCCAAAATTTACAGAGAACTCAAGTCTGAAAAACACCAAAGGATCCAATCAAAAAATGGGGTACAGAACTAAATAGAGAATTCTCAGTAGAGGAGTCTAAAATGGCTGCGAGACACTTAAGAAACTGCTCAACATACCTAGCCATCTGGGAAATGCAAATCAAAGCAACTCTGAAATACCATATTACTCCTGTCAGAATGGCTAAAATCAAAAACACCAATGACAGTTTATGCTGGAGAGGATGTGGAGAAAGGGGAACACTCCTCCACTGCTGGTGGGAGTGCCAACTTGTACAGCCACTTTGGAGATCAGTATGGAGATTCCTCAGGAAAATGGGAATCAGCCTACCACAAGACGCAGCAACTCCACTCTTAGGCATATACCCAAAAGATACACATCCATACAACAAGGATGTCTGTTCCACTATATTCACAGCAGCATTATTTGTAATAGCCAGAACCTAGAAGCAACCTAGATGCCCCTCAACTGAAGAGTGGATAGAGAAACTGTGGTACATTTACACAATGGAGTACTATTCAGTAGAAAAAAACAATGGAATCTTGAAATTTGCAGACAAATGGACAGCACTAGAAGAAACCATCCTGAGTGAGGTAACTCAGTCATAAAAAGACAAACATGGTATGTACTCACTCATATATGAATTTTAGACATGGATTAGGGGAGTGTCAGCCTACAATCCCACTGCCAGAGAGTCTGGGAAACAGAACCTTCATCCAGTGACTGATGGAAGCAGAGGCAGACACCTACAAATAAACTCTGCATTGAACTCCTGGAACTCAGTGACAGAAAGGGAGAACTGATGAGCAAAGGGGTCAAGACTGGACTGGTGAAACCCACAAAAACAGCTGACCTGAACAAGGGGGAGATCTTGGACCCCAGATTGATGGCTAAGAGGCCAGCATGGGACTGATCCAGACCCTCTGAATGTGGGTGTCACTGAGGAGGCCTAGGAAATCTATGGGGTCTTGGGTAGTAGATCAGTATTTATCCCTGGCATACAAATGGACTTTGGGTGTCCATCCCACAATGAGGGATGTTCTCTCAGCCTGGACTCTTGGGGACGGCCTAGGCCCTGCCCTGAACAAAATGACAGACTCTGGAGATCCCCCCATGGACAGCCTCATCCTCCCTTGGGAACAGAGCAGGGATTGGGTGGGGGACTGGGGGACCTGATGGGGGAGGTGGGGGAGAAGGGGAGGGAGAGGGAGCTAGGATTGACATGTGAAGCAAGTTTGTTTCTCATTTAAATAAAAAAT